TTTGGCGCCGTCTGTGGGGAGCCGTTCGAGAAGCCAAACAGTGTCCCGTCTGAAAATTCGAACAAAGCTCCTTCGACTCGAGCAGCCGCCGCCACCGGCACCACCGCCGGCCGCCACCGCCGCCGCCGGCCTCTGGCCAAAGTGACCGGATCGGAAAGATTCTTACATCATTGGATAGATCTCCTCGAGCAGAATCTCCCCTTAAAGTTTCGTTCGAAAATTCATCCAGGAAGACCTTCAATTTGGCAGTCAAACATTCCAAATCTAAGAACAGTTTGGTCAACTATCAACCTTCAAACCAATTTTTCCGACAATCCAGGAAGGCTACCGAAAATCCAAGGGTACCATTGGAATCCTCTCGCCGAGACGAATCTGCAAGGCCCAACCTCCGCCGAGCGCCGCCGCCCGCCGGTCAAAGTTCTCCGATCGAAAAATCGTTGGTACCATCGTGAAGCTCATCCTATCCTCGCAATCTCACGCAAAAATTCCTACTATAAGGTTATCGATTTCGAGGTCAAAGTTTGTAGATCTAAAAACAAATTAGTCAAAATCCGATCATCTTCTCCATTTTCCCGTCAATTTCTGGCAAATCGCTTTAATCCAACAGCACCATTGAAATCGCCTCGTCGAGGCGTGCACAAGGATGGTCACTATCGCCGGAGGAGGCGAGCCTCGGCCGACAACTTTGCTTCCCGGCGAGTTGCAGTCGTGGTGTTCGCAGCTCGCTTGAACCTGCTTCTGTGCGTGTGGCCCAGCGAGAAGGTGGCCCAATTTTGCGCCTACCGTACAGGAGACCCAGCAAGAGCCCGTCAGCAAGCTTCCCAAGAGCAGTGGCCCAGAATCGAGCGCGACCCAAATCGTGAGGCCCTAGGAGAAGAAAGAAGCTCGCGTGCCGTGCCCAGCCCGCGCGGCCCGCATCCATTGCATACTTAGCCCGCACAAGGCCTGCATACGGCCCGCGCTCCAACCCTTATCCCTCACAGACTCCGGCTCGTGAGAGCCCGCGAGCGGCTCACTTTCCAGCTACTCTCCTCAGCCCATGGTGCGGCCCAATGAGCACCTAAACACCCCCCTAGCGCAGCCAAGATGGTCCGAGAGGGATCCAGGAGCCATGGTGAGCCCACGACAAGCCCGGAATAATACAACATGAACGGTAAGGTAATTTGAGATAGTATTCTCATTACGGAGGTATGTGACTAATTTAAATTTGCGACCAGAGGATTTTTAAATTGGTTTATCCATGGAGCTTATTGGATATATTTGAGAAGTACTATTTGATTTATAGAGCTTATTGGATCTATTTGTGGAGTGTTGTTTGATTCACCCATTGAGATTATTGGATTTATTTGCGGAGTATTACGTGATTTATCCGTGGAGCTTATTTGATTATTCATGGAGATTATGCGATTTATCCGTGAAAATTATTTGATATATTCATGGAAGAATTATTTAAATTACTCATGAATTAATTAAATTTAATGGTGTTATGAGTTTTGTTAATTCTAGACTTAATTTAAATCCGTGAAAACTATTGGATTTTTTTTTCGGCAGGGACAAACGGCGAGTGTGGGACGGGTGAGCTGCGTGCGGTACTCTCGACCTCGCCACCTTTTCCGCGAGTGCGCGGCGTGCGGGGAGCTGCGGTAGTGCGGGCTCTCGACCGCGCCAAAGAATCCGCGAGGTCGCGGCTGGGGATGTGCGCATGGTTGGGTGCTGCTTGCGTCCGCGGGGTTGTGGAGAGTGGCGCGAGCACGCGAGTGTGGATGTCCGGCTGCTGCGTGCGTCCGCGAGTGCGTGGGTACGGGCGCGACCGCGCGAGTGCAGGCCAGCAGGGTATTCTCGTCAAGGGCTCGACATGCTCGAGTAAGAATTTGCTCGTACGAAATGGCTCTAAAATGCTCGTCTCTTGGGATTCGGCTTAACTCGTCTTTAATCCTCGAGAAAAACCTGAAAATATACAACGAGCACGGAAAAGTACGCCAAAATATAAAATGAAACGAAAGACACAAAAACACACGGAAAACGACAAAATGGACCGGACGACACTAAAACGAACCTAAAATTGACTCGATAACACACATAAACACATAAAAATAAGCACAAAAACATGACAAACAGTGCTCACCAGTCATATGTCAATATTTCAAAAAATTCCAACTACATATTCTCAGAGTATTATATGTTAATTTATTGTCATATCACTTGATAAACACATTAACTCGTGTTCATTATAAGTAAGAAAATTACTCATGTAAATTTACATGAACACACACACACACACACACACACACACATATATATATATATATTGAAAAAAAAATATAGTTATATAAATAGCATTAATTATTTTTTACCCTAATTGGATCATAATAATTTTATTAGGCGAAAATCAGGATACTACGATTTTCAATGAATGTTGATAAGACATCTTAAAAATTTTTAATTTTGAGAAGGACAAAAACAAAATCACTCGCTTTTGACAAACTAAAATCCTAATTGAATGCATGTTTGAAACTTCTTAACTATTAAATGGTATTGCATTTTTTTAACTATTAATATAATAGTATTAAAAATTATATCATAAATACGATATTTTACTTATATTACTTTACAATGTACAATACGAAATTGTTAGCTTATCTACCGTGCGCAAATTAAGACGTGTTCACCAGTCATATGTCAATATTTCAAAAATTTTCAACTACATATTCTCAGAGTATTATATGTTAATTTATTGTCATATCACTTATAAACACATTAACTCGTGTCCACTATAAGTAAGAAAATTACTCATGTAAATTTACATGAACACACACACACACACACACACACACACATACACACACACATATATATATATATATATATATATGTATTGAAAAAAATATAGTTATCTAACATTCAACGTACCAAACACTAATGCCAGGAAAAAAATGTCGTGGACATGAGACATCTCTCCTAGTTAGTCCTGACTAGAGCTATTAAGTTAAACGAGCTCGGTTCGATTCAGCTCGTTAACAATTTCGGCTCGATAAAACTCGGAGAGATGATTATCATATAATTTTCTATAGCTCAATTTTTTAAGGGATCGACCTCGAGTTTTGGCTCAGCTTGTTTACAGGTCCTGACTAACAAAAAAGAAAATTGTTGTTGGATAAATGTTTTTGGTCGATCCAAATCTAATACTACCTCCTATTCTTTTTAAATGTCGTTTTGGCATTATCAACTATTAACAAAATAAATGTCGTTTTGGATATTTTATACATATTTTTTCATTATTACATTCATCTAGCTAATAAATACACTACGTCTTTTCATATTCACTCTTCATTTTTTCTCAAAACATTCATATCTATCCTTATTAATGAGGGTTATTATTGGCAAAAAAGTATTGTTAATAACTGTGCAACTTCTCAAAATGACACTTATTATAAATAGGAGGGTGTATTTAGTATTCGACAATTAAAACATCTTTCCCAAAATACTAATTGAAAAAAAAATAAAGAATAGAAAAAAATGATAATTTAAATAAATGTGAACGTATCAACAGATCTACGGGTGGGTCCTCAAGCATGCTAAATTGCTAATGGCCACGCATTCAACTTTACCCCAAGTCAACAAATATGATTCTACGCATGCCTTTTCTAAACGTTTTAATTAGGAATAATTTGGATTATTTAGCTGGCCCATAATAATTTAATAATAAATTATAAAAATTAAGTTTATGAAAAGTACAATTTACCCAAATTTTTATTGAGAAAATGTTACGGTCTCGTTACAGAACCATCCCGTCGAGAGTTTTAACCGTTGGATACACATGTAGTTAGTATAAGATAGATGATCTAACTGTTAAAACATCTGACAGGATCATTCCGTACCGAGACCATAACATTTCCTATTTTTACTTAATTGTGATGAGTAAATTGATAATTGCATGTAATTCCAGAGATGTAATATATTTTAAGGAATATGTGTGAGCCGTGACAAGTAAAATTTGATCGAAAATTTAATTAAATAGTATTAGATAATTGGTAGATAAATTACGAGAATTAAAATCGTTATTTTACCAATTCACCACATGTTTTTTTGTTCCCTTACACTGATATTTAACAAAAAGTAAATATGCTAAACAAATTTATAATTATGATATGTTAGAAATTATCCTTGCATTTCGTAATTCACCACAAATTTGTTCCTTTACTAATATTAAGAAAAATGAAATATGTTAAATAAATGTATAATCATGACATATTAGAAATTATCCTTGAAATTCGCATTTTTCACCACATTTATTATTAATATTTAACCTAATGAACCTCGAAATTTGTTATTTTGTCGTGAAATTAATACTTTAATTTTCATCAAGTGGGATGAAAATCGTGTCAAGAAAATGTACGAATTTAGTCACAAGCTAATAGAATGGACTAGTTAACCTAATGAACCTTTTGGCAATAATGTCAAATTAATGGACTGAAAATAAAGTAAACTAATAAATTAAAAAAGTATAGTCGTTATAGATGATTTAGAAAATTTATTGTAATATAAGACATTTAAATCGTACAAATAAAGATTGTCATTTTAGATATAAATAATATTGTAATTTTTTTAAAAGTATTTGAAATAAATAGCAAAAAACTTATCTCCTTCATTTTTTTATTTAATTATATTTGTAATTTTGAATATAGTGAAATTGAATTAAAGTTGAATTAAAATTAGAAATATGAACTTATTACAAATTGAAAAAAATTTATAACCAAACACCCCCACTCTTTGTCTAAAACATGAAAATTCCTATACATACTCAGAGTAACATCTGATTCATACAGTTTCATATAAGTTACATTTTGTTTTATTCCAAGGTGTGCGTTTTATGTTTTTCGAATCATTCAAAATTAAATACATACCTTAATAAAATTAGTCCGTACATCACACGGATACCGCACTAGTTTCTATAAATAGTCAGTCAGAGTAGCATCCCCCATTCATATAGTTTCGTAACTATGGCAAATTTCAACTTGTCGATTGTTCTCATCCTTCTACTTCCTTTTTTGGCTAAATCTACTGAGGAAAAGGTTTTTTTAACTATTTTCAATGCATTTTTTTCCTTATAATGGTATATAATATTTATTTATAATACTGTCCATATCTTATGCAAAGGAGATTTGTAAAGATAATGTTTTACAGGTATACATTGTCCTCTTGAGTGATCATGATAAGAGTAGAACAGCCGAAGAAATCGAAGATCAACACCAATCGTATTTGTTATCTGTGAAAGAAAACAAGGAAGATGCAAAATCTTCTATTATTTATAGTTACAAGAATATCGGTGGGTTTGCCGCGCTTCTTACGCCACATGAAGCTCTTAAAGTTTCCGGTGAGCAAGAAATTTAATTCAGTTGTCTTGTACAATTCAACTAGCATGTAGCTCGTGAGAAACACGAGACAACTTGCAAAATGTTCGTATTAAAGTAATGAAATATTGATTATTAGTATAAAAAAAAAATTGTATATTAATATTAATTTTTTTCTTTTATTTATAATATATGATAATTTAATATGTAATTTTTATATTTATTTCACTCGTTTAATTTTTTTTTTTCATTTTAGAGTTCCTCTTTATAATTAAGAATAATAATAATTTAACATATTTAAATACTATAAAGAAATACTATTTACAGAATCTTTCTCTCTCTCATATCTTATCATAATATACTATGCCGATCTCTAAATAAGTAATGCTAAAGGTGAAAATTTGTACCAAATATTATAACAACATTGAAAAATGATGTGGTTCAAATGAGGACCAAGTCTTAGTGTGAGAACCGTGAGAACTGCTATTTGTAATTGTACATAATGCTATTATTGATTGTGTTTAGTGCTATTTTTAACCAGAATGTATTTCATGAAAAATAGAAAAATTTAGCATTTCACCATAGACAAGTAGAAAAGCATCATACATAAGTAAAAATAGCATGAAATACGATTCGTCTTCCAGAACTAGTTTTTACTAGAACCAACCCTTATACACACGTGTGTGTATAAATTTCATGTTGATGGTGGTTTTTGCTTCGAATTTACAACAGATATGGAGGGCGTGGTGTCTGCGTTTCGGAGCCATGGACAAAGATACACTAAGCATACAACGAGATCATGGGAATTTTCTAGTCTACACATGCCAACCAATGCGAACGACAAAGACAACTTATGGTTGAAATCCAAATACGGCAACAATGTCATTATTGGGATGTTAGACACGGGTATTATTGACAAACTACTTGAAATATAATAGGAATATCATGAACATGTATGTGATCTAAAAATATTTTGGGTTCTTTATATATATATATATATATATATATATATATATGTGGGTAAATAATTTTTTCGACCTGTACTATACGTATTTTTGGGATTTTCAATGTAAAGTATTATTTGTTGTAAAATGTAACTTGAACTACATATTACAATTATTTGCACGTTCGACTACTTTTTGGACCGTTCGATCATCTGCAAAAAAAAAAAAAACACGTGTATGGTTAAGTTGTGGTCGAGCGTGCAAATAGTGATTGTATATGTAGTTCAGGTTGCCTTTTACGACAAAAAATACTTTAGGTTGAAAATCCCAAAAGCAAGTATATTACGGATTGAAAAAAGTTATTTACTATATATATATATATGTGTGTGTGTGTATAGTGTTTAATTGGATATTTGAATGTGTTGAAACATTAATTCAAGAATGGGCCGTGTGATTTTAATTGAAAATTTATGGTTTGATTAGGCATCTGGCCGGAGTCACAGAGCTTCAGTGATGATGGGATGGACGTCGTACCAAAATCCTGGAAAGGAGTTTGTCAACCTGGGGATGCTTTCGACCCTTCAACTTGTAACAAGTAAATTCTTAATTAACGATCATTTAACATAAACATCATTTTTTTTTGTCATTATTTATGTCAACTAATTATGTCAAACTACTACTATTCCTCTAAAAAATAGTCTCACTTATGTTATTTCTCTAACATATCTATACAAAATTTTATACTCTAAATCAAATCAACTTGTGTTATCACTTAGGAAAATCATCGGTGCCCGATACTACCTCAAGGGCTTCGAAGCAGAACACGGGCCGCTAAATCGAACTTTGGATTATCGTTCGGCCCGCGACATGGGAGGACACGGGACCCACATGGCGTCCATAGCCGCCGGGCGCCGGGTCGACAACGTCTCGTCGCCCAATGGGTTTGCCCAGGGCACCGCCACGGGCGGGGCCCCGCTTGCCCGACTCTCTATCTACAAGGTGTTATGGATGATCAATGAAGAAAATAACTATGCCGCGCTGGCAGACAGCCTCGCCGCCGTCGACGACGCCATCAGTGATGGGGTCCACATCCTAAGCATGTCGTACGGATCCATCGAAGGCCCCATACCACTCAATGAAGAAGACGTCTCAATCGTCGCCCTCTATGCGGCCAAGGCGAACATTGTCGTAGCAGCTTCCGCAGGAAACAATGGCCCTACGCCAGCCACCACGGTTAACTCGGCCCCGTGGTTGATCACGGTGGGGTCGAGCATGATGGACCGGAAGTTTTCGTCGGACATTGTGCTCGGGAACGGGTTGACTATCCCGGTAATCTTAACGAGTCAAATTATGCTTATTTGATTTCGCCGTCAAACAATTCAATTACATGACAAATTTTAAAACTAATCTGGTATAATGATATATTTTTTTAAATTATTCAACTATTTCTATGAGTTAGAAATTGGTCAACTATGTTGTCGCACGTCAAATTGAGGTATTCTTATTTTATTTCGTTGGCTTTGCAGGGCCAGTCAATGACTACATATAAATTAGCAAAAAAGTTGTACCCATTCGTTTCTGCAGATCAAGTAAATAACTGTGGCGTGCCCGAAAACGAATCCAGGTTAAGCCTCTTTTTCATGTTTTATTAGAAAAACGTCATATACTAAAACCAACACACAAATAAAAATTGTTATAATATCACTTGTGAGTTGTCCCACATCGTTCATACATGAAAAATAGACTCACCTTATAAGTCTAATGGGTTACTCCCCCTTCCACCAATTGGTTTTGAAATGGAACCCCATTTGGATTTCATATGGGCTTTTTTCTCTCATGTTGCGCTTCATGTTAGTGGACTTGCACCCGTTTTCCCTCAATTTTTTACATGGTATCAGAGTCGGTTCTATTGAGACCGTTAATTTCTTACATGGTATCAGAGCCGGTTCTATTGAGACCGTTAATTTCTTACATGGTATCAGAGCCGGTTCTACTGGGACCGTTAATTTCTTACATGGTATCAGAGCCGATTCTATTGGAACCGTGCGATGACGTACCCATCTCGCACCCGTTGTTACTTTAAGTTGTATTTGCTCAAGTTTTTTTTCTGCAGGCTATGTCTTCCAGGTTCCCTTTCTCCCCAAAAGGTAAAGGGAAAAATCGTACTGTGCTTCACAGGAACCGGATACGACGGAGATAGAGTCCTTGAGGTGAAAAGAGCCGGAGGAAATGGTGTCGTCATAGGAAATAGTGACGCCGATTGGAACCCTTTTATTTTCGATACCGACTACTACGTTCTTCCAGCCTCAACCGTTGGTTACACAAATGCCCTCACTATCCTGAAATACATCAACTCCGTAAAAACACCAACGGCGTACATCGCACCCGCTATGACAGTTATAGGCGCCAAACCAGCACCTATAGCGAATACTTTCTCCAGCAGAGGTCCCAATGCAGTCGCACCTTATATTCTTAAGGTAATCTAATCAATTATTCGCAAAGTTTCTTTTTCTCAAAATCTTAGGTCCAATAACAAAGTGTTACCAAACTAAAACTGCAAAGGGTCGATAATATCCCTTGCTCGCCACTACTGCCACTACTGCTAGTCGCGAGACGACTGATCAATTACGAATAATTGGATGGTTGTTAATTTGCTCAATTTTTCGCTGCAGCCCGATATCACGGCCCCAGGGGATACTATATTAGGAGCATGGAGAGGAAAATCTCCTTCGGGTGATTATGGGCTCGTCAAATACGACTTTCGGACGGGCACTTCAATGTCTTGTTCGCATGTAACCGGCGCAATGGCACTTCTCAAGGCCGTGCACCCAGATTGGAGCAGCGCCGCTCTACGATCGGCCCTCATGACAACCGGTGCTCAAAACTTCGATCCATTAATTGCACACAAAACAATATTTAAATGTTTTTTTTTCTAAATTTGTATTATACGTGCTTTGGGCTTTGCAACCTACATTGTATAATGAACATTCATAAATGGCACACTCAACTTTATCTTGCCATACAAGTGTCCATTTAATCGCGGATTATCGTATGGTCAACAAGTAGGCGAGCGTGAAGATTGTGAATATTAAGTTTTTACCATGAAAAATAGCACAGGTTGCAAAATCCAAAAACACGTAGAGCAAGGTTACAAATTGTTTTTATGTTGATTAAGTTTCGATTGCTTTGCAGCGGGACATAGAAACAATGAGGGCAACCCCATCACTACTAATATCAACGACTCGGCCACCCCATTCATGATCGGGTCGGGTTATTTCAACCCGACAAAAGCAGTCGACCCTGGACTCGTCTACGATGCTTCATTCAACGACTATCTTCTCTTCATATGTAGCATTGGGATTCACAATCTTAGTTCTACAAAGTGCCGCGACAACCCACCGCCTCCTTATAATCTGAACTACCCATCACTAGCCATACCCGACTTAAAAGACACGGTTACTGTTGTTAGGACAGTCACGAATGTGGGGGGTGGTAAGGGAGTCTATTTTTCCAAAGTCCAATCTCCACAGGGTATTTTGGTAAAAATAAAGCCGTCCGTGCTCAAATTCGGCCGAGCCGGTGAGAAGAAAAGTTTCATCATCACCGTAAAAACAGACAGTGCATTTTCAGGGACTGTTCGGAAAGGCGAGTATTTGTTCGGATCGTACTCGTGGTATGATGGAATTCATGTTGTCCAAAGTCCTATGGCTATTTCAGTTCTCTAGTTTTTTTTTTCTTTCCTCTGTTTCTAATCGTACACTTGACTAGGAGAAACAGAAGAAAAATCAAATAAGTTATTTGAAATAAAAATAATTGCAACATAATTCGTATGAGAAAATCAAATGTCTTGTAATAATAACTCTCTTGTCAGGCAATAAAAAAAACCTTATAACCCTTCTGTAATGGACTATACCAAGAAACGCTGATGGCAACCTTTTGAAATTCAATTTGTGTTTATTATAAGGCTTCATGTAGGGAACGCTAAGGGTGAGCGTGGATCGGTACGGTTCGAAGATTGATAAATCTCAGGAACCGTACCAAAGTTCGGAGATCCCAAAATTTGATCTCCAGAATCGTACCAAACAGTCGGTTCGGTTTGGTTCGGAGATTTTAATTTTCGGTTCGATTCAGTTCGGTATACGGGACTATTGGACGGTACAGTTCGTTATGGTTTGGTTCAAATTTTCAGAGATTTCTTATTTTTTTAGATTTTTTTTAATGACTACCTAGTTATATTTTAATTTTTATATGCTTTCAAAATACAACATTCATCAATAATTCATCATATATATATATGCAATTGAAGATTTTATTTTGAAATTAATTTTAGAAGTTAACTTTAAATTTTAGTTATTTAATTTTTATATGTTTTAATAAAACCAACATTCATCAATATTTCCTCATATTAAAAATTTTATTTTAAAATCAATTTTAGAAGTAACTTTAAATTTTAGTTAAGACTCAATTTGTGCAACTAATATTGAAAATATTAAAATTCAAACAAAATATGATTTTTTTTCTAAAAAATATTCTTTAACCTTTCATATTATTTTAAAACATAAAAAATTCAATTGTAGATCAAGTATTACTAAGCATGAAAATTAAGTGAAGGTTAATACTTATTATTACTATATCATATAGGATCAAATATAAAAAAAAAATATATATTAATAACACATCTAATGTTATAATTCAATTCTTAATTTCGATTCTTTGATTCGGTACGATATGAGACAGTTCGATTCTGTTCTCGGTACGGATATTTGTGAAATCTCCAAAACCGTACCAATTTTTTTTGGTTCGGTTTGGAGAAAAAGTCAAACGGTCAACGGTTATTTTTTGAGTCACTTGCTTGAGTACATCCAAAGGTGAGAACAGTCAGGCTTTTGTTTGCTCTTTCTGAGTCACTTGCTTGAGTACATGCTAATAACTTGGTGTTCTCCTCGTTGTTGAACTCTGTTACAAAAGATATTCGTCAAACTCTACTTTTCTTTTTCTTTTATGTTGCTAGGAAGAAATCAAATCTCGATATGGCCTTTTTAGTGGTCCTAGGGTCTTCAGCTTGAAAAATCAAGAGTTCTCTGTATCAAGGTTCACTTTCCATCACACAATACTATAATGCCTTTAACGCTCTTTGGGATGAATGTCACTTATAGACCGATTTTTCGATGTCAATGTGGTGCTTTTAATACTTGCACATGTGATACGTTTGATGCTACAATTGCATCACAATAAAATGGTTCGGTCATGACATTTATCGTTGGTCTGTATGATACATATTCATCTCTTAGGAGTCACTTTATGTTATCATCTGCCTTGCCTTCCCTGTCAAAGGACCATGCTTGCCGAAACTTCTTCAAACTATGTAAGGAACAAATATACCAAACATAGAATGTATACACCTTCCAAACAGAGAGATGATTTCATCTTAAGAATCAAGTTTCACCTTTACCCTTTCTCCCTTGAAGTAAATGTATTTCCATTTACTTCCGTATTTCATCATTAACATTCTCCGTTTGTCCTCTTGACCCAACATCTCGAAAGCTCGTCCAATCCTTCCAACAGTATCTTGGTCCGGCTTCACTCCCAACTCCTCCATGTCAGCAAATACCTGAGTTTTCATAATCCAGGCCAGTCATGTATACAGATTAGGAGGGTATCAAGTATTAACCGAGAAAATCACCTCTATAACTTTATCTGGTGTGTTATGATGGTCGTACAAGGATATCATCCTAGAAAACAACCTCTTTGATATTGACCGATCATGCGCATGCAAAATCATGTCCCATAATGTCTCGGCCTCATCCACTCGTCCGTCCATGTCAAATGCCAGTACAAGGCAGTCGTAAGTTGCCATTGTTGCTCCTTGACCTTTGCTCAGCATCCACTTACCCACCTGAATGTGCAAAATGTTGCATATCTTATGATGAAAATTCTACCAAAAACTGTAATTAGCGCTTCGAAACATCACCAAAAACTGGACTCTACAAATTTCATACTTGAATAATGCATTTCCACTGATTCCTGTTCCTCAAAATCTTTAAAGCCTTTGCTGCAGCTATTAATGGAAATTCAGTCTCCCATGCTATCCACTCATCTAGAGCACTGTAAACAGCCACTTTTTCGTTTGGAACTCCAGAGATCTGCCACATTACCTCGATATTACTATTATAGTATAATAATCTCAGGTCATTGAACAATACACGTATTATACATACAATGCGAACAAGATTCATTGCCTTCTGTCCCGAACCAGATGAATCTCTTTTCTTCCATAAGTGATGTTCTTTTTTTTCCAGACTTCTTAACAAGTTTCCTGCATCCCAGGTCGCCATGAATTTATTAATTTGCCATTTTAAAGACGAGAAACAAAACTATAACAAAAGGGAAAGGGACGAAACTGAGATTCTCCATAAGAAATTACCCCCATCGATTAAAATAAGAAAAAAAATAAAATAAGCAACAAAAATAAGTAAGGCGAATTGAGCGACAAATTTAAATAATAATCTGAGAAAACAGAACATGACCTACTTCTCACCAGTACTAGATACAACTAACGACTTGTCATTTTGGCCAGGGTCATGTTTTAGAGCCGATACAACTCTCAACTGCCCAAAGAAAAAAAAAAATTAATGATAAAATCAGACTCAGCCCAGACCACCATTTTACGAATGAAATGAAAACATTTAAACTATGTTCTTGCCTTCTCTGACGAACATCTGAACTTGAATGTCTTTAGAATAGAGAGATCACTGTATTTTGTGAACGGACACCATACTGGATGATCTACCTTGACAACTGAAACCTAATGCATTGCACAAAACGTTTTCAGCGAAAATACTAGTAGAAGACTAAAAACAGCCATGGAAAATACAAACAATAGACCATGTTTTGTGAAAAGAAAACATTGGCATTTACTAGAGTGTGAATCGACACGACTCAAAAGCACTACCATTTTGTTCGCAAACATCTAAAAATCGCGTTCAGCTGCAGAAACATACAAGAAAACTCCTTGAAGATGAATTTCTTTCACCCCTGTGACCATACAATTCAAGACAAGAAATTAATTATGTGGCTAATTGCACGTACAACACCAGACTCATAGAGCGTAACATCCCAGCAAAATTCCAATCTTCACCAACATTTATTACTGCACGTAATTAACAAAAGGCAGCAAATTGAACGACGCAATAAAATACATGAACTCATACCGACTGAATTAAAGATGTAACGGAAATTTATCACAACATACTTCTAAATAATCAAGAACTTGCATTTACAAGTAAATTGCTTTTCAATATAAATTGACCATTTTTAATTGGGTAACCCGTATTTAGGGCTGCACAATCCGTCAGAACAGAACCGAATTTTCGGTTACCGAACTGAAATTTGGTTCGGTTTCAAACCGAAAATTCTAGCGGTTTATCAGATTGGTTATCGGTTATCCGATAAAACGGAGAATTAACAATTTAAAATCCACAACCCTGCAGCTCAAAGCCTCAAATCAAAGACATAAATTTAACCGAAAAAAATAAAAAATCACGAGCTTAAATTGACATTCACCAAATATGTTCAATTGAAACAAAATACTCCCGAGTTAAAACAGAAACGAGCTTCAAAGTCTTACAGAATAAAAAAACAAAAACTTGAGGTGTAGCCCGTACGAGAGAATCTGGGTGGCGGTCTTATTTGAGATGACGACTGTCGCCGTCGAGTGCTGGTTTCGGTCCATACTGAATTTTCGGTTTCGGTCGGTTAACCATATTTTGTGTACCCCTACCGTATCTGCTCCACCAGATTTTTTACACTACCCGCAACAGATTTAAACTCGAACTCGATGAACGTTAGGGTTGTGAAAGATTCGACACAAATGAAATCAATGGAATCCTAACAGTGGAACAAACAATATTTCAATCAAAAAGCTATAATCAGTGAAATTCGAGAAACATGTCTATCGACACAATTAACCTTGAGATTGTGATAATAAGTGATGACCTCAAAACCAGTGTTCTAGAAGTATCTAGACGCCGGATCAGCGCCTAGAGCATCTAGGCGAGGCCTAAAATGCTACATTTGTACTCAGTTTTTCTCTATGAAATTTTGTCGAACATGTTGTCTACACGCTTCTCTCTTAATCATCACAAACAATAGCAGCATTATAGCAACCACCACCATATTTATGCAATTATTACTTCATTACTCAGATCAAAATGCCAATAAATTTCACTAAAACTGAAAATTACCAAAACCTAATTACATAAAGATTGCATAAATCACAACTAGAACTGAACCACTGGTAAAGGATACCTGTGAAGTACCTGAGTAGGCGCTCGTGATAGGCGGATGGCAGTCCGGCGGCGAGAATGAAGGCGTGCCGATAAACGGCAAGAACTCTGACGACTGAAAATCGAAAAATGAAAATAGATTCTCTTCGACTGGACTGATGCAAAAAATTCTCTCTCTATAAGAGCCCTTTCTCTTGCCCTAAGAGCGAATTCCTTCACAGGCCTCATTCCCTTTAAGGGAGTTTTAAGGGAGTTATTGTTTGATTCTCGTTTCAGTTTCTCCTTTCTTATCTTGTAGTTCCCCTCAGTCTTTCTCTTTTCTCTCGCAGGTTTCCTTATTTCAGAATCATCGACAGCTAAATCGGTTGGATTAGGGTTCAATATGGATGCAGAGTTATCCCAGAAGCTCGGTACCATACAACTCTCTGAGGAAGAAGCAACAGCCATTCCGATCGCAGAAACAGATATTAGGGCTGGAATTGCAGAATGTGATAAAAGTCTCTTCGGGAAAGCTATAGGGCTTAAAAAAGTTAACTTGCTTGGGCTAAAAAGAGTTGTGGGGCAGATAAAGGCACCAATTACCATCAAAGAGTTGAAAACCAACTTTTTCCAGTTCGTCTTCTCTGATATAGAGGATAAAATCAAGGTGCTTGGTGGAATGAATTGGTCTCTTGATAACCAATACTTGATTCTCAGGGAGTGGGTGGAAGGAATAGGGCCAGAACATGATACCTTCAATCATTTAGACTTCTGGGTTCAAGCATGGAACATACCCATTAATTGGGTAACTGGAGACGTGGGGCTGAAAATAGGAAAAGTATTCAAGAAGGTGAAAGATGTTTCAATCCCAGAGGACGGAATTCTAGCAGGGAAATGTATTAGACTTCTTGTTTCTGTGGATCTTGAACACCCAATTCTCAGATGTGTAACGATTCAACTGGGAGAAAAAAAGATCACAATAGAGCTTAAATATGAACGATTGGTAGGTCTTTGCTTCTACTGTGGAATAATAGGGCATCAAGATAAGCAGTGTGAAAAAAGAGCAGCAGACATAGATAATAGAAAGCTTGCGGCAGGAAGGTTTGGTGATTGGCTTCGGGCTTCTGAGATATATCATCCTCCAAACCATAACAACACCAGCAACAATACTGCCCCCTTGTCTGATAGGAAAGGATCCCATGGTCCGGAGCTGGGATTACCCGGCCTTGCAAATCCCAAGTTTGTCTATGAAGAGCAAATCTAATTGTATTTTTCCAACAATCGCTCTAATTCCAACACCAAACCCTCACTGAATATTAGCCAGAACAACATATCTTCGAGTGCTGCTACCACAAACAAAAAAACTCAACCTATCCCAAATTCACCTAACCCTATTACCTCAACATCATCCCCAATAGTAGTTGAACCAAACGCAAGTCCAGATATCTCAACCTCAAGCCAACCAATAGTCAACAACCCTTCACCAAAACTGATACCTGTGAACAAAACCACAGAAACTCCCTTACTTTATAATGCCCCAAACACAAACCATACCCAACTCATACAAAACAGCCCAACCTACAAACCGAAATATGACAGGGATCCTATAAAAATCCTCTGCTTTGACACCCAGATGGAAAAAGAGATGAGTAGAGGAGAAGATCTTTGTATGGAGGACACAGTGGAGATAGAAAAGAAGCAAGAAGAGTCATCATCATCCATTGGTGGCAGGAAAGGTTGGAAGAGGAAAGTGACCAAAGCTAAATCAGGGGATAACATAATTCCTCTTCAAGTTAGCAAGAACAAGAGGAAGAGTGATTCAATGACAAAGCTAAGTTCTTTGATAGGGGAAAATCCCAATGAGTATGCAGAGTTGGTGAAGAAACAGAAGTTGGAGGATGAAAGGGTGACGGAGGCCAGCCCAAATTGGCCCCACAACCCCCAATGAAGGTAGCGGTGTGGAACTGTAGAGGTCTGGGTGGACCCTCTACAGTTTCCCAAATCAAGGAGGTGTGCAAACTCCACCACCCATCTTTATTTTTTCTTTCAGAAACAAAAAAAAAATCTAAATTTGTACATACGGTTTGTAGGAACTTGGGTTTTGGGGATAGATGGGCAGTGGTTGACCCAGTAGGCAAGAGTGGAGGTTTACTTTTGGGATGGGACTTGTCTATTCATTTTTTGTCTATTGTTAAAAACTCTTTTTGCTTTCAAGTTCATTATTGGGATGCTGTCCAGCAGTCCTCCTTTTGGGGGATTTTTGTTTACCTTAGTACTGATGCTTCTCTGAGAGCCTCTCAATGGGATTTTCTGTGTGGGGAAAAGATTAACTGGGGAGATAAATGGTTCATTGGCGGGGACTGGAATGATCTGGTGGATAGATCAGAGAAGCAAGGGGGCAGGGCTCGAGCTGAATTCTCCTTTCTTGGGTTTAGAGAGTTCATTGCCAGAATGGGATTGTTGAAAGTTAGCTTTACTGGTCACAGATTCACTTGGGGGAATAGAAGGGAGGGTGAGGGATTTGTTCAAGAGAAGCTGGATAGAGTGTTCAGCAATTTAGCTTGGCAGACAACATATCCTTTTGCTGAAGTCTCTCACATCCACAGGAGCTCGTCTGACCATGGGTTACTACTGCTGTCATTTCAGCCAAACTCTGAGAAAAAAGAAAAAAAAGTTCTACTTTGATAGGAGGTGGCTGGCAAAGGAGGGTATCAAGGAGGTGGTTGCTACTGCCTGGAATAAGCAGAAGGAAGGAACACCCATCAAGGAGACCAGGGTAGATATTTTAAAATGGAGCAGTTCTTTCAGAAGAGATAATGTCCAGAAGATTGAGGAGTTGAACAAAAAACTACAAGACCTTAGTGAACAAGGAGGAGAAAGGGACTGGCCCTTGTGGGACAGATGCATAAGCCAACTGAACAAAGTTAATGCTGAGGAAGAAATGTTTTGGAAGCAGAAAGCCAGAATCAGGTGGTTGAAGATGGGAGATAAAAACACCAGCTACTTTCATGCATCAATCAAGGAGAGAAGAAAAATCAACAACATCTCAAGATTAATCTCAGATGACAACAGAGTTTGTGAGTCTAAAGAAGAAATTGTGAACTGCATCAAGGATTTTTATTCCAACCTATTCTCTTCTCAAGGCAATCAAGATGGTACTGAGCTTCTGAATGTGATCCATGCATCCATTACTCAAGAACTCAACTCTGAACTGATAGCTGATGTTGATGAGGAGGAAATCAAGGAAGCTATTATTAGCATTGATCCCAATAAAGCTCCTGGCTTAGATGCTGCTGACCCTAACAAGAAAGGGATCTACTGGAAAGCATGGAAATGGTTAGCATTGCCAAAGGAGGTGGGAGGATTAAACTTTAAAGATCTCCAGTTGCTAAACCAATCCTTGATTGCAAAGCAAATTTGGAGAATTTTCACAAAGCCCAATCTGATGGTGAGCAAAATCCTGAAGGCAAAGTATTTCCCTGGCCACTCAATTTTAAAAGCCAAAAAAAATTCAAATGGGTCATGGCTCTGGAACAGCTGGATGATGTGCAAGGACACAATGCAAAGTGGTGTGAGATTTGAAGTGAAGGATGGAAAAGCAATAAAGGTGTGGGAGGATCCATGGATTCCAACACTGCCAAAATTCAAACCAACCACTGGGATGCCTGCCAACTTGAGTACTATGAAGGTGAGTGAGCTGATGGATGAAACTGGCAGAGGCTGGAACCTTGATATACTGAATCAACTGTTCATTGAAGATGATGTCAATGCAATCAGAAAGATCAAAAATTTGGAGCCTTCAGCAAAGGACAAAATGGTTTGGGATTGGAGCAAGAATGGACAATTCTCAGTTGCCTGAGTTTACAACAAACTGGTATGGGACAAATGGGGTAAATTGGACAAAGCAGAAACAAGTGAGGAGCAGAAGACTGGCAGGAAGGCTAGGAAAAAAAGCTGGTCTCTAAGAATAAAAGGCAAAATAAAGCACTTCATGTGGAAGTGTTACTCTGGCATACTTCCTGTTAGCTGCAATTTGAAAAGCAAAGGCATTCAGTTAGATGAAATTTGCAAGACCTGTGGTGAAGCTCCAGAAACAATTGAACATCTCTTCTTTCATTGTTCTAAATCTATGCAAATTTGGACCTTGGCACCTGTCACTTGGGAAGGGTTACAGGAAGATACTCAAAACTTCAGAGGATGGTGGAACAAATTGTGTACTATGAAGGCTAGCAGAATGTCTGATTCTAGAATTGAAATGACAGCTCATATCCTTTGGTGGATTTGGAAGGATAGGAACTGGTGGGTATTCCAACAATTGAAGAGATCAGCAAAGGAAGTGGTGGATATTGCTCAGAGAGAATGGCTGGAGTATATAGACAAAGGCTAAGCCTTTCTAAGAATCAACTAGGTTCTTTGTGGTTCAGTGGTGGATTCTTGAAGGCTTATTTATTGTCTATAGACCTGACCGTATTTTAGTGGCTGAGTTTTGGGTTCCTAACTTTTTCTGGTTTTTGGTGGTTATCTTTGTTCTGTTGTAGTCTTTTGTTGTAGTTTTGTTTTGGTTTTTGGCTCTAGTCTTTTGTTGGTTCCTTGCTTTTTGCTGTTTTCAGGTGGATTAGGCGGGTAAGTTCAGTTGCTTTGTCTCTGTTACTCGTTGTTAGGGGGTTGTTATTTAGGACACCATGTGGTGATCCTCATTGTTATGGCTAGTTAGCCATCGAACGTTGTATATTTGTGATTAGTTATTTAATCTATCGTTTTGTTAAAAAAAAGACTGGACTGATGCCGGTCTTTGCTTTTAAGTTAAATGACAAAACGACGTCATTTGGATGTTCGACTTTTTTTTTTTTGGTACAGGGACCTTCCGGTTTCCGGATCCACAGGGGAACCGACTAATCCAGAATCGAGCCGGGTAGGACCACAAGGACGGCAAAGCTCTCCCTCAAGAGTTTTAACACTGGATGTTCGACTTTGATTTAATATAAGCCATTTTTGTGCTGATTGGATTGTTTGTTAACCAAAGTTAATTACAAAAAGAAAGATTGAGTTAGTTTTGATTGTAAATTTTAGTTTGTAATAAAATAATAGTTAAAACGTAATAAAAAAGGAAGAGATATATGATGAGTAGTTAAAATTTTGTGAGTCGTTAAATAGTAAATTAGAGTTGATGTAATGTGTGATGATGATTGATTCGTATTATTTCATTGTATTAATAATATCCTTGAGGTTTAGTTAAATTAAATTTAAATTAGATTTGGAGTTAAAAAAATATTTGATCAAAAATGACGATTATCTTCTAAACAATGACGACTTTAGTATACTACTAATATCGAGAGTCATGATCTATTGATGTGAATACAACGCCAAGAAGTAAAAATGAAAAGAGGTGAATAGAACTGCTAACGAACTGAGTGGCTCGCGAGCGCTCGAGTCAAAGCTCGACTCGAGCTCGAGCTTGAGTTTGACCGAACTCGAGTCGAGCTCGAGCGGCTCGAGCATGAACTCGAGTGGAGCTCGACCTTATATTTTGCAATGTCGAGCGGCTCGAGATATATATTGAACTACTAAAATACTTCTTACAAATATATATATATATATATATATATATATATATATATATATTACAACAGTTTAGTATAGATGCTTAATGGTATTTTATTTTTCCACTTCAAATTTTCGAGCCGAGCTCGAGTTCGAGCAATTGTATTTTTTTATTGAGTTGAGCTCAAGCCTCATAAATCGAGCTCGAGCAGCTTAAAAAATTAATCATGTTGAATAAGGCAATTTTCCACTCGACTCATTTGCAACCTTAGAAGTACAGTACTAGACTAGTATGCCGAAAGTCTGATATGAATACAACACCAAGTAGTAAAAATGAAAAGAGGTGATATTAAAAGTGGTGCACTAATTGGTGATTCTTAATTTATTTCGATTATCTTAAGAATTATTGTGTATTTATTTAATTTTTTGTCTTAAAATTTTTTATTGAATAATTTATGGAAAAAAAAAAGGAATAGCCAGTGTAGAGTGATTTGTAAATTGTAATTTAGGAGAGAAAAATATAGTATAGTAAGTTTACTACTTGCCCAAACTAAATAGAAAATGAGTACTAAGAAAAATAAATAACAAAATTAAAGAGATAATTACCTGGTGGAAAAGCGAAAGAAAGTTTTTTTCCTCAAAGACGAGATATTTTTTTTAATTACCTAAATGAATATTCCTTCCACTTGAACGAGATTTAGGTTTTGTTAATAACACTATTAAATTTTATTCTTCATCTTTCTTATCTTAATTACTCTGATTCAATTTTTCTTTCTTTGATTCTGCGTTTCTCACTTCACAACACACACACACACACTTCCCGTCCGATTGTGCGGTGTCGTGCAACCATGGATGCGGCCAAATCGCCACCGTCGTACTCGCTCAGGTCGAAGAAAGAGCCGTATTTACCCACCCTGCAGTCGGATCTGAAGTCGCGGAGGGCTTCCAAGGCCGACCCGAATCCATTGGGGGTGAAAACATCCGGGAAGCCGACGGATCCCTCGAGGCGGCTGCGCAATCGTTGCACGGTATCAAAGAAATCGAGGAGGCGGACATGGAGCTTCGGGTACGCAGATCCGATCCATCTGAAGAGATTGGGCATGTGGTTGAATCTAATGATCCGTAAAGTATTTACATTTTGTAAAAAAAAATGATTTTTTTAGTTTTTTTTTTCACATATTTTTTGCATATTGAAGTTCATTATGGTTATAAATTGATGAGTAATTGAATTGATGTTTATTTAAGATTTTATTATGGTTATAAATTGATTTTTTTTTTTTTTTTTTGGTTTCATTTGTGGGTTAAATTCAGTTTTTTATTTTTGCATTGATTTTTTTATCTATTTATTTTGTTGTGATGTAGTTAAAATTAGACAATAAGCTTAAGATTAAACTGAAAAATAAACTTATGATAAACTTAAGATAAACTTAAGATAAATTGAAAATAAACTTAAAATAAACTTAAGATAAACTTAAGATAAACTGAAAAATAAACTTATGATAAACTTAAAATAAACTTAAGATAAACTGAAAAATAAACTGAAAATGATAAACATATGATAAACTAAACTGAAAATGATAAACATATGATAAACTTAAAATAAACTTAAGATAAAAATTAGACAATAAAGTTAAGATAAATAAGTAATAAACTAAGATAAACTGAAAAATGATTTGAAAATTTTTACAGAATAAAATGATTTATCGTTTGGAATAAAAATTCTGCAATAATTTATAATTGGAATTAGTTTTAATGAATCATATTTGAGGAATGTTTTTTCTAACGATCGTAATTGCGTATTTAAGCCGTAATTATTTGGTGCACTTATTGGAGAGAGAGAAAACGAGTTAAGACCATGAATTGCTCATTAACAACGCGTTTGCCTCATTTGAATTTATTAAGTTTGAATGATCATAAATGACAATAAATTTTTTTAGCTCGTAAAGTGGAAAATATATGACAAAAATCTCGTAGTGGTGTATTTAAGCCAAAATTAAATATACACTTAACAAGTTTGAAAAAAGTTATTTGTGTCTAATACCAAGCCTAATTTCAAAGCATAAATAAATATATAAACAACATTACGAAGCGTAAATTTTCGCTATATTAACATCTGAAGCGTAAGAATCTGCCAGGTTCTAACATGTTTTGAATTGGGATTAGCAATCCATGATGTTTGATAGCCTTCATATTCCTTGGACATTAATTGAAGAATGTATTTTCATTTCCCTTAGAGGCATGCCATGTGTTGTTAAATCAGTTTATATATAGTCATTTTATTAAATAAAAAAATAATAATAAAAAATAAATAAATAAAAAAAAATACAAGTATATCTTCTAAATAAATATACAATAATAAATTTCTTGAGTTCATGATTTGCATGGTTTTTATAGATGTTCAAGATTTAAAATAACTAGTAGTCGACCTGTGCATTTGCACAAATATAAATATAGTATTATAAGTTATTAATGATTAATAATTTTTCTTGTACTTTTCGCAGGCCATATTTACATTTAAAAGAGCTGGAATATTTATTTTTTTAAATTGCGTTTATCATATTGGATGTAATGTATATTTTGGTATGTATTTTTTTTGTGAATTATTTATTATTTATTTATGAATTTCAAATACGTTTTTTATTTTCCAAAGAAGTTAATTTAAATTGTAACCACAACAATAACATCTAAACACGTTATATAATCAACACTTATATGGTCAGCTGTAAGTAAATCAAAAGTTTAAAATGATTTTTGTATTTTGAAGTGATTAGTGTGTTGATTATCTAATAATTAAATGAGAGGTTAAATAAATAAAAAGTAACGGTTTTTGGAGAGAAAATGAAATTTTGCCACATAGGTATAATTTAATAGGTTTTATTAAATGCTCATTAGCCAGCAATTATATATATATAGATGTTGCCTTGCGTGTTCTCATCTCCAAGAGATTGCCCCTCAATTTGAGCTATTTGATCACAATTTAAGTGCGATAATTGGCATGTTACACCATCTACTTTCTGTTAGACTTGCTGATTAGAACATTTTTCTACACATAATATTACTATATATATATACAAATCTTCATAATAATGCAAAACATTAATCATTTTAACTATACTTCATGTGTAACCACACAGATATCTCCATATTATTAACACTACTTTTCATTTGGAAAATTCCGCAAAAGAGTAGTCGACCCGAGTGATTCGTTTGTCTTTTTCAAAATTGTTATTCGAACTGAGCTAATATGAGGCCAAATACCGAAGCTCTAGCACTCATCGAGCTATCTCAATAATATTATCAAAATCTAGAATAACGCTCGACTAACTTGGGAGCTACAAATTATAAGCTCAAGGCGAGTTTGACTCATTAATATAAAAGAATTGTGCTCATTGAACATCAAACCTACACTTGAGCTGCAAAAAGCTACTCAAATTTTACTTTTAAGGCATCTTGAGGCTGCTGTTCGTTTGGCAGGCGCGTAAGTGAATTTCTTCAAATCCACATCAAGACTCGACCTAAAAATGTAAAAACAATAAAAACAAAAATAAGTGCACAAGATTAAAAACACTAAAGAACTCCTTTGCATGCACATTCTCACCTTTTGACGCAATTGTTGTTCTTTATGTCTCTTAGAGGCGCACGAAGGCCACTTGCACGCGAGCCAGACAAGCTGTATTTAAACGATGATATAACCGACACGAATTTTTCCATTGACTTCCCAGCTATATCAGAATAACGACCTAAATGACTAATGTCGCATGCCATTTTTTCTTCTTCGTCATCATTTGTATCTTCTATATCCAAAGTGCATGAGCCCAAAAGGTCTGAAGAAATAGAAATATATATATAAAAAAGTGCATGCATTTGGCATAAATATAAATATTCAAGAACATTACCTTTAGACGACTTGTTTTCCTTCGTGTCGTCCTGAAATCGAAAAAGAAGAAAGCCGAGAACTAGGTTATACCAACAGTTTAACCTACAAATGTGTTCTAATTAAATACAATAAAAGGAATTTTCTTACATTTGGGCTGTCAGTTTGAGCAAGCTTTCTTTTCTTCACGTTATTGCCTTCAAACAGATTCTCATCACTTGACAAGCTCTTACGAACAACACCATAATTGCAAGGCTCGACAAGTTCTTTACCTCTATCTACAAAGTTTTCAGATTCTATAGAAATTTGTCCAAAGTAAGAACTCTTCATTCTTTGTTTTGTGTCATCAACTGAGCTTTTGCAATCATTAGAATCTAAATCCGATCGATTTATCTGTATCTCGGCAGAATTTTCTCCTTTACTCTTTTCTTCCTCACAATCAGCGTTTTCTGTGTTAACGTGCAAAAAATAACGACTCTTTACTATAACCTTTTTCTCCTCTTTACGGCATTTTTCGTACTCCACTTGATCATCATCATTCTTCGGATAATACGAACTACTCATTCTGATATTTTTATCTCCTGAGGCATTTTCTTCATCCAATTCAAGATCCTTGTGCAATGATGAGATACATGGCTTACAAACTGAATTCCCAGATATGGATAACGGTTTAACTCCAGTTCCTCTATCATCATGTGGCCCTACGGGTATATAATAACAAAATCAGGAAAAAAAAAAAAATTGATTTGTATGAGAACTTTGAGCTATGTTACTATGTAGCAAATATAGGATGTGTCCTTACCAAGATCCTGTGAATCAGCAAACTTCAAATCATCACATTTTACCTAAACAGAAAAAATACAAAAGGAAAAGGATTATAAACAACATAAATGTTACAAGAACGAAAAATGACTTCACTAACAGCTGACCTCGTGTGTATTTATGGAATGACTGGAAATTTTGTTGCTTTTATTTAGATGATTAGATGTAATCCGAGGGGCCCTGAAATTCCTCTTTGCCTCTAGAGAAGCAAAACCTTAGTCCGTCAAGGGAAAAAAAATAAAAAAATAAAATAAAAGATCTCTTATCATCCAGTATTTAAAGCAATGGCCAGTTATATAGTTAAGAAAGAAATGCTCTAAGGTAACAACGTAAAATCGGATTTATTTGGATACAAAAATAATTGGTAAGGAGATTCTTCTGAGCAGGCAAATCGAGCCTTTTTTTTTTCACCGTCAGGCTTGAAATTCTTGAGCTGGTACGTTCTTTGAACCACCTTCTCAGTAGCTTCGGGTTCTCTCTACTTTTTCAAACCAAAATAGATCAAAGAAGAGCTATTTCAATATATTAAATACAAATAAATTGAAATCGAGAAAAACTACCTGGATTGGAATCTTTGTGAAAGGATCAAGATTCCCTGTTGCTATACCTTTCGCCACAAGCTGGGACAATGATGTGGTGCTTGTTAAGGTATCACCAAGAAAGCACAATGTACTTGCCATGTTTTTTGTTGAGATTACTTGTAGGAAATTACAGCAATTTAAAGAAAAAGGATATGGGCCTAAGAAGTCTAAATCTTCATCAGTACCATCCACTGGCTCGGATAAATGCACAATCTCCTCTCTAACGGGATCATAAACTCGTTGATGCCTGAAAGTCAAAATTGCTCTCCTGAATGATTCTTCATAAAGAGGAGTAAACTCAATGTTGTTGTACTTTAAGTGCTTAATTACCTGCATCAAGATAATCAAAACTATTTTGTCGAAATTCCAATAAGAATCTAATAATAATATTAAAAATAAATGTTCATCAACTATCTAAAAACAAACTAAAATATTTACATTTTGATGGTTTTTAAACTTCTTCACGAGAGCATGAGCCTTTTTCAGGCCCATTCCAGGAAGGGACTGCAAATAGTCACATCCACTAAAGATACACATCTCGAGCAACATCATCTGAGTGAATCCCTCTAAGTTTAGATCTTTGTTGTACTGTAACAAGGCACTCTTAAACTCAACGCCTTGCCCAAATTTATCCATTTTGTAGATTATCTGTTGTGTCATTACATATTCAATCAGTAAGGACAATAAGTGAAAAAGAGACTATACATTTTAGCTATAAAAGTTTTGTGGAGAGGAGAAAAATGATAAGATGACAAAAAGAGAAAAAAAAAAAAAAAAAAAAAAAAAAAAAAAAAAAAAAAAAAAGAATAAAAAAATTAAACAAATGGCAATAAATGAGAAGCTAACTCTAGAGACTCACTCTAGGACAACCAAATGCAATTAAATCCGAGTCTTCTGTAATCACGGCATCAACATGATTGTTGAGGGCTAAATATGTCATTTGAGCATCTGCCTCATATGGAGCCACAACATACGATACATTTTCCTTCTTCAGTACCTATCATAGAAATCAGACAGAATCAACTCAAATACTCGTATAGCATATAGAAAATCATAAAAAATTCATTGAGAAAATTACAAAATCGACATCTATTTGACCTGGATGAGGTCATAAGCAACTGAAGGTGATATATCAACGGCCTTCTGGTAGCATTCATAGGCAGCCCTTCTATTTCCATTTGCCTCATGCTCCACAGCCCGGGATAGGTTTTCCTTTCTTGATCTGCAAATAGAAAAATGTATGGCCACGAGGGATCAATCATTTTAATTGTAATATCGCATGTGAAGCTAAATAGCAAAAAGCCAAAAACATACTTTTTTTTACATCGAAAAATCAGCAACTGGAGGTTAACAAAATATCCTCAATACTTCATCCAAATACTCCATAGAAATGATAATTCTAATATCTATAGTAAGTAAAATCTACCAAT